TGTTGGATATAATTTTAAAATTTCGCGTACATAAAGTTGCATTTTGTGCAGACATAGAGAAGGCTTTTCACCAAATTCAAATTGATAGTGAAGATAGAAATTTTTTAAGGTTCTTGTGGTTTGATCATTCTTACGACAATAGTGACAATAGTTTAGGCTTTAAGGTTTTCCGAATGTGCCGAGTGCCGTTTGGAATGACAACAAGTCCGTTTATTTTGTCCGCCACTATCAAACATCATATTAAGGGTTATGAAAAGAAATATAGCAAAGCTGTTGACATGTTAAATAAGTCCTTATATGTTGATGACCTTATCCATGGAGCAGACTCCGTTGAAGAAGTTTTCTCATTATCAACTGATGCAGTTAAAATTCTTCAAGACGCTGGTATGAACTTAAGAAAATTTGAATCAAATTCCGTATCTTTAAAAAATCATTGGCAAGATATTGGTTTAATTAATAAGGAAGATAATTTGGATAAGAAAACGTTAAAGGTGCTGGGAATAATTTGGGATTTGGATGAGGACACATTGAAATTAGATGTACAAGAACTTTTACAACCAGTTGACTGGAAACACGTTACGAAGCGAAAGGTATTACAGATTGTGGCAAAAATTTATGACCCAGTTGGATTCATTGCACCCTTTGTTATCAGAATAAAATTCTTATTACAAGAGTTATGGGAATTGGGTATTGATTGGGACACAATTTTGCCCAGTTATTTGAGTGAAAAATTTAAAACTTGGTACTTTGAAATTGAAGTTATTCTCAACTTGTGTATTCCTAGAAAATACATATTAAATGATGAATGTGTAAATTTCGATAAAATAGAGCTTTTTGTCTTTTGTGACGCCAGCCTCAAGGGATATGGAGCTGTTGCATATTTTCGTGATCCTGATTCTTGCTGTACGTCTTTTGTTCTTTCAAAGAGCCGTGTATCCCCACTTAAAAAATTAACCTTGCCTCGTTTAGAACTTATGGGAGCCATTATTGCCGCAAGAATAGTTAAATATTTAAGGAAATTATTTAATATCCAAGAAGATAATGTATTTTGTTTTAGTGACTCTAAAATTGTTCTTCACTGGATCAGGGGTACCGCTGATAAATGGAAACCCTTTGTTGTTGCTAATCGTGTACGTGAAATACAAGATGTTGTATCACCTTCGCAATGGAAATACTGTAAGGGAAATGACAATCCGGCTGACATAGTTTCACGTGGATTAAGAGCTTCTGATCTAGTGGAAAATAAACTTTGGTTCAATGGACCAGTGTGGTTAAAAGAGAAAAATTTACCTTCATCATCTTTTGATCCTTTGATCGAGCCTATGGTGGAGGAGGTACAGGTAGAACAGCGTCAAACTACTGTATATTCTGTTATTAGCCAAGAGGCTGAATTTGAATTAACATCCAGGTTTTCATCCTGGAAAAAAATTGAAACGCGTAACTGCATGGTGTTTAAGATTCTGCCACAATATTAAACCTACATCTTTAAAACTCAAGGGTTTTCTAACAGTTCAAGAATTGGATAAGGCAAGATCATTGATTTTTAGCGAATTACTTGACTCCTGGGAGAAAACTATTCGTGGAATATTGTCATCAGTCACTTAGATTCTTATTAGGTTATTTTACATTCTCCAGTGTGTGAAAAAGGTTAACTTGAGTAATGCCCATGAGTTTGGCATTTACAGAAGCTTTGGCGGTATTCTTCGGAAATTTCCATTCTTTCTCTTCTACATTTTCTGAAACTGATGATTCCTTGTGGGGCTTTTTATACTTGATTTGGTCATCAGAGACGGCTTGCGTGGATATTTCCTGGAGTGTTCATACTCGTAACTTATTTGAGAACTCCATCAACTCCTTAAACTGCTTAATCAAAGATATCATCAAGTATAAATCACGTTCATTTTTCTCATTACTTTTCTCGGGTACAGGTACGACATTCTTTTCTCCTTCCGAATTAGCTCTGGGCGTCGAAGACCTTTTAGAATTTTCCTTCTGCTTAGAGGCAGAAGAGTCCTTCAAAAAATCGTCCCGTCTTAAAGGGAACACTGACTGAGATTTCACAGTGGGAGACCTTCAACTTATAGAAACGAAGGAATGGTCGTGTAAGTGAAAGAGTTAATCAGATCAGACCATCGACTAGTTGGCGTAGGTGGGGGTGATCTTATCAGGGTCAATGTTCCTTCTAACCTTCTTCGGGAACATGCAAGGACCTGACTCGGAACAGAGAGCTTACTAAAGCTATGTTCAAGACTGTGGGAAGTAAACAGGATACACAAGAAGGGTATACAAAACCCTTTATTTTTCTCTATTTTCAATGACTTCCGTACTTCGGAATACACCGACCCGCTACTTGGGGTCAAAACGTAAAAGTATAAAAAATAAACTAAAAAACTCTAATTTAACTTTAGAATAATAAACGTGGAAGATTGGCCTTATATTAACAGGAAGCGTATGTAGTACAGAGAACTGTGAACACTACAATACGTTTAAAATTTATCAAGAGGATTAAAACCTCTGGCCTGGAAGGCAACAAGCAACTGCGTAACTTCTAAGGTAAGCGGCCTGCTTCGACTCACTGCTTCTTCTCTCTCTCTTGGCAAAAAAGCCACAACTTAAATACTTGGCGTTCGCCAGACAAACTTTGCATAAAAACCTTAACGCTTATAATTCTGTCCGGAAGTAGAAAATAAGAAGTGATAGTAAAGATTTAAAATAAAATAAACGTTAGTAAAACTTAAGATCCTTACAATCTCTCATGGATCCATTCACGCAATCCTGCCAGATGATTTGAAGATGAAACGTGTCAGTGCAAAATTTGTCTCGCGGCTGCTGAAACCTGATCAAATGGAAACTCGGCAGTTACTGCTGCCGAAAGTTTTGAAAAAAAGCACAAGGGACTCGAAGTTTCTTGAGACAATTGTTACCGGTGTTAAGGCCTGAGTTTAAGCTTACGACCCAGAGACAAAAATGCAGTCATCAGAATGGTACACAACGTCCTCTCCTCCAAAGAAATCACGTCATATCAAATCCAAAACAAAAGTGACGCTCATTGCGTTTTTCGACAAAGAAGGTGTCGTGCACCATGAATTTGTACCAGCTGCTCAAACTGTCAATGGCCCTTTTTACGTGCAAGGTTTGAAAAGATCGAGGGAGGAAATCCGACGAAAACGTCCCGCCAAATATCAAGGAGGATGGTTATTGCATCGCGACAATGTTTCCCCCCTCAATTCGATTGCTGTGCAGACATGGCTCGCAGAGAAGAACATTCCAATCTTCCAGTAGCCTCCCTATTCACCGGATTTTGCGCCATCGGATTTCTGGCCCTTTCCCAAGATCAAAATGGCCTCAAAGGCAACCGTTTTGACACCGTAGAAGACATCAAAACCAACGAGACGGCTAAACTTCGGAAGACACCACAATTGGACTTTCATCGTTGTTTCTAGCAAAGGCAGGAGCGGTGGAGCAAGTGTGTGTGTTCTGACGGAGCCTACTTTGAAGGTGATTAAGTAAATGTGTACCTGTATCGTATGTAGTCATAAAAAAATGCAGCGAAATTCCCTGAACTTTTTGACTACGCGTCGTATATATCTCCAAATAAAACGCAGTGAAGTTTGTCTTAGAGCCTATCTTCCAAAATGACCACCGCAAATAGTAATAAATATTCTTCAAAAAATAAATTCACATGTTAATTAGACATCACCTTCTTAAAATGACCATTTCGGTAGAAGACCAACATCTGAAACCGTGAGTGACCTACTTAGAAATGGTTCGCTTTGCTCATTAATACCACCGTTGCAAAAAAAAACATGTTTCACAGAATTCTGAATTACTTGGACATCTAAAATGCATATATTACGACTTTTAATCATTACATATTTTATAAGTACTGTATATCTTACCGCGATGATTTGTACGACAAAGTTTTCAAATTGCGAATTATTGTCACTACTTCATTTGCGACGCCAATATTTTGTATCTCGGTTGTTTTAGAACTGCGAAGTTTTCTTCTTGTCTCTTTCTCCACTGCCACAATATTTGCTCCTTGCGTTGTTTTCTCTGCTTTCTTTCTTCCACCAAATTTTTGCCGTAATGTTATCGACGATCATTATTAAAAAATATCTCATTGCACTGCAACTTTGTTGCAAACTTTTCATTTGTCAGACATGAATGAAAAATGAATATTGTGTAACATGTGAAAAGATAGTTTCTCAAATTACATGCATGATAAGTGCTTAAACAGCGTAACATAGCGTAAATTTACTCATAACGTAAAAATTTAATACGCTACCTACGTGAGAAAACAAATCCCGGCTAGAGGAAGTCCCGTTTTAGAACAACAAAACTAAAAATCCAGAAAGGCTATTCCTTGGTGTTCTTTTATTCAATTTATAGTTAAAGAAATTTACTTTCATAAATAATATGATTTTCATCTTTATGTAGTTGAAACGGTTGTTCTCGCTAAATCTCTCAAGCCATCACTAAATTTCAAATGGTAAATTTATCCCATCTCATGAGAAATCCTGTCCCTCTGACAGCAGAACGGACCGTCTCTATCCCTTGGATAGAAACCATCTCTGTCTCCCTAACATAAAAATGAACAATAAAATGTATCATTGCAGGTATAATATCCATAGAGATAAGTCGCATTCTAGTCATGAACATTAGAATCAGACACTGCTTTGTGCCTTACAGTTTAATTCTCATGGAGTGCAGTTAATAGGAAAATTAACATTTAAGAGGTATATGTATTATATAGTTCTCAAAGCCAACAAAGAATAAATATTTCATACTAAAAGTTATTTATATGACCCATGGATTAATTCCTGAATTATTATGCATCATATTTTGCTTCACCAACGTGCCGTAATGGGGCATACTTGCTGTTTTCTGTTCAAGACCTTCATTTGTTAAGATCACGCAGTTAAGAAAATCTGAACTAAATTGTCCTTTATAAGCTGCTTCTTGCACGTTTCAAATCACTGCCCGTTTGTATCTTTGGTTTGAAATGATGGCCGATTCTAAGGAGCAAAAGACTGAGGTAATTTCTTCATTGTTTTAATTTTAAGTTTGTAGCTTTAGTCTACTTTTTAATGTTAAGTACTCGTGTTTAAGATGCACTTTTAAATACAATTGTATCAGTTTCCTATGTTGCTTAGTTTGTACTTCAGTTTAATTGTAATTCTCTCGAAAATATTTTTGTAATGCTGCTTTTCACTTTTAGAAGGGAAATAGTTTATAACCTTGGAGAAAATTATCATTAAATTAGAAATTTGTTTAAATACATTTGAATTGGTAGTTAAACTCACAACGTCTCCTGTATTCTTAGTAGGCAGACTGCATTTAATGCTTGTTTTATAGAAATTAAAATGGAGGCTTAAAGCACTACTCCAAATTAAAGTTAAAAAAAATTGATTTACTTTATCATTCACGTTTCCCCTTTCATAATAACTTCTTCCACATAATTTCGTTCCAATGAGATTCGTATATAGCAGTTGGTTTTAGCAAATATTTGTTTCTCGGAAGTATGCCGATATGGTAAGAAAGTTCAGATTTCAGGATTACGTTTTACTGGCAGGTACCAGTAGTATTTGGATTTCAGTAGCAGGTTCCTCAGTGGAGGTGAGAATTTTGGAGAGGTACTAAATGTTCTTTTAAATTTTTTTTGCCACTGTGTTTTCGCCAATTGTTTTTGAACTCCGCACATCAACAGTGGCGTCTAGTTAGTCATCTCTTAATACTAATACCAAGAAAAACCTCCTAAAACAAAACTTTCAGTGGTTTTGTGAAAACATTATGCTCAATCATTTGAAATTGTATGTAAACCAAATTCTTAAGGTCTGTTGCTAACCGACGAGAAATATATTAAAGTTAAACTAGTTACCGTGATTCAACAGAAAATTAAAAAGAATATGCAATGTATATTTGTAACCCAAGACAGCCAAACTAACTAGCATATAAAATAACTAGCATATAAAATAAATGTTGCAGGGAACCCGACAATCCGCAGCCAGTTATGGATGAAAATAACCGGTGGAAATAAAAACTGACAAACTCAGGAAAGCTATCAAAAATGCACGGTAAGTATTTCACCTCCAGGTGATATTGCTAAGGACAATAAATTAATTCATCAGCGGATGACTTGCACAACCAAAAACAAACGAGAATTTTGATCAAGGTTCATCTTGCTTACCAAAGTTGCTGGTTGCAATTCACCAGTTGTAGTTTCGGTTTCAATATGGACTGAAGTAAACTCGAAGAGCGCTTGAAGGACTTGTACTTCGGCGAATTCAAAGAAAATTTGAAACGCGACTATACTGCGTATTCAAGTATAGGATCCCAACCACTTTAGGAAAACCACTCGTATGTTAGACTTAAAAATTCTGTACCATACGTACTTTAGTTTCAAATGCTTTTATCATCTCATGTGAATAGCTAAAGATACTTTTATAGAAGCTGTTTAAAATAATTTAATTTCTGAAGGATTCCAGTTATAAAAGTGAAGCTTATGACTAAAATCTCAAATTCTGATGCATTTTGTAACTTGCAAATGAAACATCGACGCTAAGAAGATCTAAAATAACATTATTGACGTAATATTTCATACTGAATCATATAAAATGCAGTCAGCCCAACACAGTGCCCTCAATCCCAGTTTTTCGATCATGGTTAAACACTTTTCATGAACACTTATACGCGTGCGAAACGCGCCGGACAGCGTGGAACTTGTATTTATGGTCCCCTCAAAAGTTTATTGTACGTATACCAGTTCTAAAATCGAAATATTTCAGCTGGGACAGCTGCCATATGAATCATAAAAAATTCGGCAAAGCTATAGGAGATGGACTGCTAAACAGGATCAGGGAAATCGTATCCTTAATTCCTTCAGAAGTAGCAGCTCTAGCTCCAATTTGTTTCATAAGTACTGATTATGACTTTTAACAGTACTTGCTCAGCTTTCCAACTTGACGAAGCTGCAATTAATTCATCAGCGGACGACTTGCAACTAAAGGAGCTAATATTTGTCATTACACTTTATACAAAAGCGACACACTCGAGTTCTATTTACTGCTGGTTAACGCAATGTACCTGCGACAAAATGAAAATGTATTCATGATTTTAAAATTCTCCGATGAAGGCGTAAAGCGGTGGTACCGCGTTTATCATTTAAAACCATGTTGATGATTTGCTATCAACTGTTGGATTCTATTACCCATGAAGTAAATGTTGCTAAGATGTTCTTAAGAAAACAATAGTTCGTTGTCTTTATTTCAGTTTACAGCTATCCATCAGACCACGATTTCTCAGTGCTTACCTAAGCAAACTTCCTTATTTTAATTGCCAGGGATTTGAATACAAGTATGCATGAAACATGTACTGTATCAATAAGAATAGTAGTGACGGAATTTAAACTTTGCAAACCTAAATGTAAGTTACAAGGCTTTCGTAACCTATCGGGTATTAATATTATCAAAACTCTTAATGTTTTACATGTGAATTGTTTTTAGATACCTAATCAACAGTGCTGAAAGCAAGGTTTCTAGGAATTTATTTGGCATAAGTGCTAAGACAAAATGAAGGACGTTTATGCTTTTACTGTTTTGGCTTTCATGTTTAAGAACTTCTATTAGACGTTATGTTCAAAATTTAACTTGTGAAAGTACTTTCATCTAACCGAATAAAGTGCAGCTTTACATCAAAGTGTGACATGCATTTTGGTAATTATTTAACACTAACTCCAAGTCGTCACTTAAACTGGTACGAATAAGCATTCGTTACGCAAGCATCAGTTTAACTAACAAATTTATTATAAGAAGGCTCAACAGACCACACTGGAATTTGCTGTTTAGAAGGATGAGACTGAAGAGAGTTACAAGCCAACTGGGTGCATGAAGGTTCTGTGATTTACTTCACGACTGAAATGACTAGAGGACGGTTATCGTAGACCTTCATGAAAGAAGCTATCGGCGAATAAGAAATTCTGTGTGCCTTGACTTAAATCAATCAGCCCAAGGGAAAGAACTGTCACAATTTTCCTAACATGCATTATTTGGTACTTAATCTCCTCGCAAATCTCGTAGTCTTATCTAATTGTTTTGGCGGGATTTTTAATCACTAAATTCTTTTTAGTCCCGCGTTGTTTGGTCTCGCCATCTTTGAATTATCATCCACTGAAAATGATTGGATAAAATATTTCCGGCAATATGAATATCTTCGATTACTTAGAATTCCATATCTTCATGATATGAATGCATATACCGCAGATAAAATAGGATTAGCTGGTGATTGTAATGGCCGCCGAGAAGATGTCAGCGTTAAAAATGGTAACTGATTTGAAACACTTCGTATTTCTTCTACATGCTAACTCTGATTTATTTATGGTCTAAGGAACTGACTTCAATGAAATTTGACGAGACTAATTTCCCATGTTGCGTAATACTATAGTTGATTGTAAGAACTATTTACGCGAAGCATCCTACGGATGTTTGGCGCAAGATTTGTACATTGCGGGCTGATGAAGTACCCATTATTTAAACATTGGAAAATTTGTCATTTATATAGTTCTGAAAACCATTGGTAAATATTTTTACAATTACTTAACCTTCTTAACTACGCATTCTGAAATATATTGCACTGAATAAGTAATGTATTTTATTATTTCTGAGTCTAGCATGGTAGGGTAACATCTTTAAATTTGTCAATAGTCATTCACAAATTCAAAAGTACGATTCTTTCATTTTAACTTGCAAAAGAATCTGCCGTGTTTCTTTGTTAAACTTCATGCTGATTTACACATCAGCATGAATATCTTAATATTAAGAACCCACTAATGACCGTATGTTTAAGACCACCGAATGCTGGAAGTTTGACCTAAATTCCATCCCAGGCGAACTGACTGCTGCATGGTTGGTTTTTATAGTTTTGCCCATGTGTGACGTGAATAAGAAACGGTATGCACTAGAAAGCCCTCTATGGAGACATCGCTCTCCTTACGCAGTTCCTCCCTTGTATGCGTTGTATTCAGATAACTTAGCCTTAATGATTGTTGTCTTATATTACGAAACCCTCACCCAGCTATATACGATTCATTAACTTAGTTACACTTATGACTGAATGTTCCAACGCTCACTGGAAACTGAAATCAAGGAGCACTTGTCCAGAGTAAATCAGTGAAAGGTGCTGACTTTGAGAATTTGGTTAAATTACAATCTGGGATATAATGAATACCACGTTGAGCGCGGGACCGGCAGTGAACTTTCCGTGTGGCCGGCGTCGGTCCCTGATGACCGGCACAGGAATTTGCGTTTGGCTGGCGTCGGTCCGCGGGACCGACAGTATTAAAGTTAAAAATAGTCTCAATGAAATGCGATGAAATTTAGTTTTAATGAAATGTATTGAAACATTCTAAACAAAAATACGGCTTAGCTCGCTGCCGGCTGAACGGAAAGGACAGCAAATTCGGCACCGCGCTCAACATGATGCTGGACTATTTCCTGTGCAATCTTCCGTAAAAGCATATTCAAGGTAAATGGTAAACTTCAATATCTCTCTTTAAGCTCCGCAAATCCGATCTTCAGTGCTGATTTTAGTAATACCATAATCTTGATTATTCTGAATTTGCAATTTCTTTTCTATCCTCCATTTTCCATGCTCTAGTTTCTTTGCGTACTCCTTAAATTAATCCAGTTAATAAAAGCTACTTTAACCAAGAATGAAATCAATTTCTGTTTATGCAACGTAAGTAAATTTTTTAGAGTAAGCCTTTGGCGTACTTGCGTATTAACTCAGCCACCTCGGTCCAGTTTGGTCATTTACAGATCAAGAGGTTAAAAAGTACTTTTCAAACGCAAGTTGATGATTTTCGGAACTTTTTCAAAAACATTTCGAAACTAATTATTATAAGTCTGCAAATATTATCAACGTGTCACGAGAACATTTTAAAATTATAATTGCAGATTATATTATACTTTCAAAGGAACACATTTTTCACCATATTCTCTCAATTTTACAGCGCTGTCAGTGGTTTGTAATTCTCTGAAGCTTTAAAAAGAAAACAAACTCAGAACTGTGTATTGGCAACCTACCAGTTTGATCGTTATTCCTTTTCGCGACAGAATATTATATTCCTGAAGTAATTTGGCTGCAGTGTTTTCAATTGGTGTCAAATTTCGTGAACAAAGGATAGAGTTAAGGCAAACATCATGATTTGTCTATAAGAACCATTGAGGCTCATGAGCTTCTAACTCATCGAACATTAGTAGTTTGGTCCAAGGTCCGAATCAAGCGAACGGGCTGGCTGTATGCGCATTTTCATAGTTTACCCAATGTATGATGTGTATACGAATCGGTTTCCTTTAGAAAGCCCTCCACGAAGGCATCCCTTCCTACAGGCAGTTAGCCCTCGAGACTTTGCTGTGATCACATCTCCTGTTAGAACCTGGAATACAACAAAAAGAATACATTCAAAATGGTGATGTTGGTTGTCTGAAGATTATGTGCATGGTTACCACAGCGTCGTACAGTCTGTGAAAATGTGGTGTATTCCATCAAAGTAGTTTCGATAATACGCGAGTACCGCCTTTTCAAAAAAAAAACTCCAATATTCTATAGATTAAAGAACTTGAAAGAATTTTTCGTTTGACCGATTCTTTCAGGTGGTTTAGTCATGCAAAATTAAAATTTGGTTACTCAAAATTGAAATATTTGTCAAGATTCCTTTCATTCTTGCTGTTGGTTTGCAAAATATAATTTTCAGCTCATTTTCCCATTTTTTCTTCGAAATTTTTGCCTAGCGAAGCTACGCAGTCTTTGAAAATCTCACTATGCTGTGGTTAACGAAGTCTAAGCTTATTGGATACTTCTAGTACCTACATACTGTAGTTTCGCTCTTATCACTTATAAGATTTTCTTTCTACAGGATCTACCCTCTGAAGTGCCGAGTCCAGGTGAACAGACCGAACCCGAAACCTCTAATCGGCAAGACAGCGAAGAAAGTTCCCAGAAGACCGAACCCCAAACCTCGAAAGCATCTGAAACTGAACCAGAGTTGGTAGTTGAGTCCACTTCATTCGTTGTCCCCACTCTTGAGACTGTTTCGCGCACAGATGCCTCTTCTCCAGAGGAAGCTGCATCTGGCTACATAAATGCAATAACTCGAACTGCACGAGAAATTCTGCAGCATATCAGGAGTGATTCAGCCTGGTCGGCGTGTATAGGCGGCCTAGCAATTGTAGGTGGTGTGTGTCTTGGTTTAGCGGCCGTTTTCGTAACCTTTGCGGTAACATTGCTCTGCGCCGGCATCTCTCTGCTTTTTGCCGTTTGCACAGCATGTGGAATTCGTTTCTTTATGACTAGAAGTGTTCAGTCATCAGGGTCTGAGCAGATGCTTCTTGAAGGAGGACTGAGGCAATCGCCTAATATTGAAGGTAAGATGCGTAGCCTTCTGAAGCATATTTATAATGTTCTGAAATCAATTTCGGTAAACTATTTGAAACATTCCAAAACGAGAAATTTTAAATATGCTTTTCGATGTTTAAATTGTAGGTGTTTGGGTTTCGTTCAATTAAATGGAAGTCTTGTCAGTTCTTGGTCATGTTGACCAGTTTCCAGGTATATTGACCAAGCAGTTTTTCAGTTTCTCTAACGATTTCCGCAGATACTGATATCGTGCATATACAAATGTAGTTTATAATTTTTTAAACATCTGTAAATTTTCGTTAAATTAAGTTTTTAGCAAATTAACGAGAACATTAATGATAATGCGTAAGTTTGCATTAACGAGTTATTATTTGCCTTCTGTCAAATCTAAATGTGCACTGTATGTGACCTGCATAAGGAGCCACGCAGATTATGCTGTTCATGATTTAAAAGTTGCTTCTGTACCATCTTCAGCGTGCTGTAACTAAAATTTTATCGAAAGTTTGCACAACTGTGTATCAGAACGTGAGCTTAATGTTCAGTTGTATAAGCCGAAACTCCAAGAAATTGTACGTCCTCAACGTTGTTCAAAGTCTAAAATCTGCTCACTCGATTTTCTTAACGGCAAGAGCCCACCAACGGTAAAGTCGTTGAATTACTGCTAATTCAGTACGGGGCTGGAATCCCTTCGAACGGTCTGGCCGCATGGGCTTTTTCGTGTTTTTCCTATGTGTAACATACGTGCCAGTTTCCCTTGGAGAGTCCTTCCCGAAGTCTGCCCTCCTTTTAGGCAGACACCCCTCGTGTACTTTCCATTGAACTAAACCAAAACTTGAATGACAATATCGTAAACTGTCGGATTCTGTTGATGCTCTGAATGTTCACTTGTGTCGGTTAATGTGAGCTACTTCCTAGCTCTGAAATATTTTGGATAAAGAATGACTTTTTAAAAGACGGAATTTCTAATTTGAGCAATCGGATTCCATGCTAGTTCTCAAGCCCGATTTAAAAACCTCAGGCTCTGACCTAAGCGTACTGAGACCTTCAAATTTTGTCAACCGTGTTGCCACTGATGCAAATTAAATAGACTTATAATTGAACATTTTCCATTAATTTATTAAAGCCGACTGTCCGTTTAACATTTACTTTTAAGTATGCCTTCATAATTTTTGAACGGAGAGCACTAACGTTTTCCTACACTGGCCACTCTGAAGGGCGGAAGTGGTGGCCATTTTATTGTGGAGGCCCCTAATAGGCCGCCATTGTTACCTATGAAAGGACGGACAGTTTCAACCATCCCTTCTCCAGTATTCGAACCTGGACCCTTCGGCATTGTTGTCGGCTCCTCTAACCACTGACATCTGGGCGACATGCATTCATAAAATATAAACTTGCACATTTTAAACCAGGGTCTTGATTTTTGTGAAGCAGAAAGAATGTAAAGAATTCTTACTGTTCACTAGAAATCGTAATTCATGAAGGTGGTCCACGTTAATGCAGTTGTATTATTTATCAATTCAATTTCTGAATAAAATGCACAATTAAAACTTTTGCTCTCTTCCAGACGGGGAAATCATTTTTGCAGCAAAGTTCTGCTTCTAATTTTATACTTTAAAACATAGAATTAAAGCATATCTTCACGTATTTTAAGTACAGTAGAATTTTGAGTCTTGGAGCATGTGCTTATTTGCCAGCGTAGAAAACGCTTGATGAGTTTTTCTGCATAGTGCTATAATGTAACTTCTGAAAACTATTTCTGGTTCTCCCAATATCGGTCTTGCAAAGCGTTCTGTACTTTGAATATGTGGCAAGAGTACTTTAAATATGTGGCTGATAGTCTTGCTTCTCTAAACCATGTAAGAACTTGATATTGAACTTTTTCAAGGCAGCTCCTTAAATGTAAATGTCTTGATATAACGCGTCGCGATTGTTTGAAATCAAACAGACGAGAGGAAGAGTAAGGTACTTCGGTGAGTATACTGGCACTCGGCTGGGGGGAAAAAGTCCTGCTCTTGTCAGTTCATGATGGTCCTGAATTGGACCTAACTCTTATTGAAATCCCCATATAGAATTATCCAGATGAAACAAATATCGGGGAAGAAAAATACAAATGCACTTCACATTTGGTTTGAACCTGTGTGTAATGAATATTCTCAATCACCCGTTTAGGAAGGAGATTGTTCATAGTAGTCCTTTAACACGTTGACGCCGGCATAGTACACCGATGGGTCATGCTTGGTTGTTCCGCCCGCCGGATCACTGACCGATGGGTCATGATAGTATATCGAAAAATACGTAGTACAAAATTTTAATTCAGCAGTATACATTAACATTTCAACATTATAATCATTCATTATAAAACAAATAACTTTAAATGCAAGTTCTAAATTGAACATAATAAATTTTTCTGTGCAATTTTTAAAGCTGGCTAAACAAAGTGCCGGCTTGCTCTTACAATTATCGCAATATATTACTTTCTTTGCTCCTTTAGGCTTGCTAAGTGTTTACAGCATTTTTTGCATCGCTTTCTCCCCTTCCTCGCGGATCCTTCGTATGAATTTTAAATGTTTTCCTTTTTGTTATTACTTCACTAGGGGATTCGCAAAACTAACCGAGCGCTAATTCAGAACCTGCGGCCATCAACGTGTTAAATATCTGATATTTTGGGAAGAATGAGGTTTTAGGTCAATAGCTTTAATGTATTATAAATTATATAATTTCGTCTAGTCGCTTTGCAATCTTCATACTGAACTTTAATCACAGCTCCAGTTGTTGAACAGCCCCCCTCCAGTCTCCGTTCGAGTTCCCAGTTCTCTTGGTCTTCAATTAACACTAGCGTGATGGATGCTTTACGTGGGCTAATGGAGCAATTCGGCCCTCGCCAAGAAGAGCCCAGAGGGGAACATCAGCCGCAGTCTAGAAGAGCAAGAATCTATCAAGACCCTCCCACTCAAAGACCTGAAGGTTCGATTAATTAATTGGTTCCTGGTATTAAATCGTGTATGATTTTGTATTGCTGCCTCTATGTATACATTAAAAATTTAATTGCAGTCATATTTGAACGTGGCATCGCCGCTGCTTCGAGTTCGTCGGCTGGACCATTTGAACGTGACGTTGCTGCTTTGGGTTCATCGGCTGAACTATTTGAACTTGACGTCGCTCTTGCTCCGGGTTCATCGACTGCACTATTTGAACGTGACGTCGCCGCTGCTTCGGGTCCATCGGCTGAACTATTTGAACGTGACGTCGTTTCTGCTCCGGGTTTATCGGTCGGACTATTTGAGCGTGACGTTGCTTCCAGCCCAGCGGTCGGACCACTTGACTTTGCTTCGAGCTCATCTTCGGGTTCATCTAATGTGATGGTAGTTCAAGTCGACGTTCACAGAGAAGAGTCTAGCGAGGATACGATTGTAGACCCAAATTTGGGAGATGGAGGAAACGATGAGAAATCCCTAAGTTCTGGAGGTTCGGATGATGAACCTGAACGCTGAATTTGAATCGTCGGACATATGAAACTGGTAAATGTATTAACATAATTTTTAAATCAAATTTTTACTTTTATTCAATAAGCTCTGCAGGAAAGCTTGGTAATGCAAATGGATCTTGCAGTAAATTTAAGATTAATTCTATACTTACGAGTAACTTTTCAGCTATCTAACTTTTAAAAATTGCGTTTGAGAATGCCGATCTCCGGTGTAATCGGCAGAAAGTAAAAGCAGATTGTAGTTTAGAATTTAAACTTTTCCCCTCCCCAAAATGAGTACTTGAAGTTTTAAATTGGTAATTCACATAAGAGTACTAAAATTATTTCACAAGATCGCCTTATTTGTATTAACTACTGAAATCTGTGCGCGAGCGATAAAATCATTGAACACTGGTACTTCAGGTCTGGGTTCAATTCCAGGCGAAAGGGCTGGCTGCATGGGCGTTTGTTTTCCCCATGTGGTACTTATATATGAGCCAGTTTCCCTTAGAAAGGTCCACTCTCCCATTAAGCAGGCAGCCCTAGTGTGCTTAACGATAAGAGTAAAATTAAATCGCCGAAACTTGCAGTTATATATGAATACTTAATTTAACACTAGCTTAAATACAAGTTTAATTAAAGTAACTAATGGTAATGTTTCAATGAAGACTATTGAAATTGAAGCCCTCCCCTATAGCAAGTGAGGTTAAACTCATCATGAAACTAACATTACGAATACTTTTTACTTGAAAAATATTTTTATTTTCTAGGTTTTGCCGTGCCATCGAGAACTATACTCAAGAATATTTATCTTCCTGTTCCTTTACTTTTTAACATCTTTTTCGAATTTATCTTTAATAATTGAATAAAATAATTTTAGCAAATGTCTACCTTTCTTGGAATATTTTCATATCCACCGATCTTGAAAACAAATTTTAATGTTTAACACAGTATCCCAAATTTTTAAACCTCAGCAGCGACTTACTGGAATTTTGCTAAATATTTTGTATCGAGGAACTAGTCGGAAAAAAACTAGCGAAGTACTTAACGAAAATGAGTGAATTAAGTTTTAGCTTTTAAACCATAGTCGTCCCAGTTTTAATCTCAATATGGCAATACCGATATCTGTGATGGTTACTGAAACCAGATGATACGTCATGTGACCTGCTTTCAAGGGGTCTTCTACGAATTTCATTAAGCTAGTTAACCTCTGAAGGTCCTCCTCGAAGTCATTTCTCAGCTTAGGCAAATAGCCCTGTTTGGTTTGTTTTGGTTAAAGCAAAGCAAACTATCTTTATGCCCCCCAGAAAGAATATTTTGGTTCAAATAATTTAATGCCTTCAAAATTTGGAATCGTATCTTTGTATACTTAAATTCCGGTTACGAGCTTCGATACATTACTAATTGCACTTTTAAAACCATAGATGTGAACTTAACTTATTCCAAGAACAAAACTTATTAGTATATCATAAGACTGAGCTAAAAGAGAATGAGCTTGATATTTGGACTGATCCGGGATTGGGGAGAAATTAACAAGTGCTTTTGTTGCTTATTATGGTATTGGAAAGTTGTAATTATATTTCAAGCGGAACTTCTTGCAAGTTTTAAAACCTGCAGTGAGTACCAAAAAACCCGTATAATAAGAAGGAAATTGCTATATATGCTTGATTGTCTCTCAATTTTACAAGCCCTCTTAAACTCTGATCAACCGGATATTTTGATTCAAGCGACCAAAGAACTGAACTATATAAAAGCCTTCTTATGAAACATTAAATTAGGTTTAACTGGATTAGAACGCATGTCGAGTACTTTCGCGTTGAGAAGGCGGATGTCCTTGCTAAAGAAGCAACTGCAAAGCCCAATACTTCAAAAACGGAAATTCAGAGTTCAAGAAGAAAGGCCATACCAATTTATGTTAAATAATTTGCACAAGAATTGGGATGGACTATGCCAGGACAGAAGTAAAAAAAAAGTATGCATAATTTTTAAAAGTGCAAAACCTAGATCAAGCATAGATGTCGATGAAATCATAAGCGGCCACGGAACTCCCTTTTATTTTAAAAGGTTTGGGCTTCGTTTGTTGCAGACTTCATTCATTCGTCATTTTGTTGGAGACTGTCCTTTCACTAGAGATATAGAAGCAGATAGACTTGAAAACATTGCATTACAATAGTGTAGCAGGGAAAAAATAGGTCAAAATGATGAAAAAATAGGCATATAAGTTTGCACGTGGGTACTGGTGTTGAGTCTTTTTCTATTACCTTAGTTTGGTTCCTAGTCCACTGCTTTCCTTTGATGGTGCGTGAAATCTAAAAAAAAAACTAGGTCTATATTACCAGCACCTTCTGGTTGTATTTTATGACTTCTCTTTCGTTATGTTTTCTAAGCTTTTGTTTTATCGGGGCCGTTGTTTCTGACTTGCTGTGGCGCAGTCCATAAAAAGATCATAGTGCGACGGCAAGTCTGCCAGGAGGTTCAGGCTGCGCCCCCCGCGTATATTTCCGTTATTTAACTCTCAATGTGTTTAAAAAATACGTATTAAAAGTTCTAACGAAAAAGCTATATCGAAAGCGCGATTACTGCAAGTTTGCAGTACGTTTTATTTCTAGGTGATGAATACTTCCGTTACCTTATGTTAAACTCAATCTGATTACTGAATTAAATTGAATACATTTCAGATAGTTACATTTACGATATATTAAATGTTTACATATTTATTCAGAAAGTTAGGCGTTAAGCGAATTTATGTGAAGCAATATTCTTTGGAGTTCTCTATTTATACAAGTTTGAATTCTTATTTTAACTAAACAGAATCAAACTTGGTTCATGGTTACAAACTGCACGTGGCATATGGGCTCTTTAGTTTTTAAACGGTAATAGGATTATAACATTAGTAAGGATTACTTTATATTGCACTCGTGTCCAAAATACTTTCATGCATGAAATCATGGATTTCTCATAAACTGAACTATATAAATTTATGTGGAATAAGGCATATCATAACACATAAGGAAACAATTTAAGACCCTTGTATATAAAACAAAAACGGGAATAGCAGAAACATGAAAAGAGTAACTAGGCAAAAAAAAATTAAGGCTCAGGAATTTAACATGGAGTGGGATCTACCTTGAATTTTTACACATATATCAACGGATGTCCATGCTGGTAATAATGTTAGCCATAATTTGCAGAACTCTGTTCAACTCCTACAGCAGCAGTCTCCAGGATATTTACATATCTCACTTGCACTTGCTTTTCCAAGGTAGTCTCGTAAGTTATTTATCGGGATAAGATTAAGAGATTTTGCTGTCCACGGTATTTTCTCAATGTCTTTCAATTCGTCGATGTGGACGAGCATTATCGTGGATGAATAAAAAGTCAGATCCACATGCACCTCCGAAAAGTCTTTCATATAAGACTCAGCCCCATATCCCAGCTCTTAAGACCTCAGCCCCATATCCGACCGGTCACAGATCCGTTGTCTAACACGTATGTTCCCCAATTATTCCTCTTCAAACCTGCATTACCAAAGCGGTTACTTCCCACAATATTTGAAGAAAAATTTCTGCTTTCTGACTTTCTTCAGAGGCAAATGTTTAGAATCATATTTCTAATTAAACTGACTCGTGAGTAAAGAGAACATGGGATCATGGATGTTCAGTCCAGTTCTGATGTTTGTTTAACCAATTGAAATGATATACCTGCTTCTGTTGTGAAGGTGTTAAAACCTATATACCCTTATTCGCATAAAGGCTTTCTTACGATAACCTTTCCGTATACAGTTTGTCATGATACAACAGATTCAGTGGCTGCGATCAACTCTGAATTTTAACTGCCGAGCAGAAGATTTCCTGTTGGTGACGAGCAGTTATTTTCAGATGCTGGTCTTGAAAAGCAGTTATTCGTTTACGACCTTGGCCTGGTTTGTTTCTCAAACGTTCGTAACCTTCCAGAAATCTGAAATTCTTCTCCTTGCGTAGACTCAGTCTTGAAATATTCACATCTCACTGCTTCAACCCCCCCCCAAAGTCCTGCTATGCTGCCTCAACGTGGCGGGGGGGTGTCACTGGGCGGAACGGGCGAAGTACGTCGGGAGCATAGCTCCTGGTAGGGCCACCCTAGGCGTGAAGGCCGTTCCAACATGCCCAGCTAAAGCATAGCAGGTGAAGAACCCTCAGGGGATTGCCGTCTTGGTGATCGGGTATCACACTCCCGGGGCCCCAGTGACCTTTCCTCCTCTCTTTCCTCTCCTCTTGTCTAGCTCTCTCTCCTATTTTTTCTCCCTTGTGGTTTCCTCTACTGGAGGTTGGGGCTCACTGTGAGATGCAGATACTACTCTTGGTCTCTGTCTCATCATGGTGAGAATACCGCCTATGCGTTTGCCGTGCATGGTGACCCGTAGGGTAGGAAAGGAGGATCCTGGCAGTTGAGGGGCGAGGTACTGTCCCCAACACACTGCTTTGGCCTCTGCTTCTACTTAAAACGGGAGGCACTTAGCTGTCCCCGCTAGTGTCAATCGGCTGGCCACTAGTCCTATTGGTCAGTGGCTAGGGGATAAGCTCTCGGAAGTCTCCGCTTTTGGGAAAGCCTACTGTGGGGGCTTCAGTTTGCGTATAGGCCCGGCTAGCCCTAACACAGGGATCTGTGTTCCCTTGTTGGGCTCCATGGTGGGTGGAGGGGCGGTCGGGCCCGAAACCTTCTCTCTTTTCAATATGAATACTTTAACTTCTTCTCCTAACCATATGGATACGAAAAATTCTGGAGCTGCTAAAAGAATTTGTACTTCGACCTTAATTAGCACAAACAAATATCCAAAGTTCTTAGTTATCACTGGTGAGCTAGAAAATCTATCACCATTCTTCATCCATAAGCATACTGCGGCCTCAGTAGGCGAGCCAAAACACATAAAAAAGCTCCGTTCAGGATCTCTGCTCATCGAGACTACATCTGATGCACAATCTTCCTCTCTCCAAAAAATGACAAAAATGGGGGAACATTCTATTACTGTATCCCCACATAAGTCTTTGAACACGTCAAGAGGTGTCATTTCGGAAATAGACTTGGTATCAGTCTCTGAGGATGAACTTTCAAAAGAACTCGCCGAGCAAAATGTATGTGGGCGTCCGCCGAATAAAAGTCCGTAGAGACGGGCAACTCGTCAACACAAAACATCTTATTCTGTCTTTCTCCTCTCCAGAGCTACCGAAAGCCATTAAGGCAGGTTACCTAAATTGCCCCATCAGACCTTACGTGCCGAACCCACTGCGCTGCTTCAAGTGTTAACGGTTTGGCCATGCGAAGGCCACATGCCGGGGAAACCTGGCATGTGCTCGCTGTTCTTCAGGAGGTCACGAAAGTCAGGATTGTGTAGCTGATCCAAAATGTGCAAACTGTCATGGCAATCATCCAGCATATTCACGAAACTGCCCTAAGTGGAAAGAAGAGAAATACAGCATATTAAGACTACAAGAAAAATCTCCTATCCTGAAGCTAAGAAACTTTTTAGCACGGGTCAGTCAAAAGCAAATGTCTCCTATGCACAAGCCACTAATCGGTCAATAAGTACACAAACATCGCATAGCACACCGAAGAAGATACCTGAACCAAAAACAAATGACAAAGAAAGTCTTTCTTCTACCTCCTCCCAAACAGACAATAGAAAGTCGAGAAATAAAAACACAAGAAACAGAGTTCAAAAAAGAAAATCAAAAGCTCAGAAAAGAGAAGCTCAAGCCGAAGCTCTATTGAAGGGACCTTTTCAGACTTTATCGAATCTGAGATGGAAACAGATGGAGGCGGAGATCTCTCGAAAAATGTTCTACCTCACAAAACAAAGAAACAGCATCGAAGCAATAAACATTCTTAATGGCTACTCTCATTTCGTGGAA